ACATCTTGCTCTCTCTTAACTTGGAATCACTGTGATGACCAGGAGTAGTCTTTGTACACAAATAGTCCATTGTGTAGAGGCCTGCTCACTTTTCCAGTTTCTGAACATTATAGCTGTTAGAATTCTGAGTCTCCCCTTTGTTTGCCTGTGCTTTGCAGGTTACCACAGCCATTTCCTTGGGTATTTGGCGAGTCGTTTACTTGGAGTCCACTCTGAATTTTAATTTTATTTTAGCTCTTGCAGTGATGAATACTCTCTCTTTTTATAATGCTCGAAAGGCAAGCAGAATGTGTAAATATTTGTCCTTTGTCTTTCTCCAAGATACACTTCTTGTGTTAGTACAAACTGAACTTGTCTCCATGTGCTGAAAAGTTGGGAGATAGGGGGTGTGCTTTGTGGATTTCATTTGAGAATATCACAGTATGTACTGATCCCCACTTCCCATCCATTAGATGACTTGATTAGTTCACATAGAATTCCCTCAAGGACTGACAACCTCAATGATTTATTCATAGTCTCTCGCTTTTTATTATGCACACACATTATCAACAATAATAGTAATAACAATAACGTCTACCGATATAAGAGAAATAGACTCGGATTAATATTATGATCTTTTACAGATTAATTTATATCAACAATTTCAGAATTTGTAGCTGCATATTCTGAGTCTGCCTTGCAGTAACAGACCACAAATATGCAGGAACTGTTTTACCCAAAAATGTATTAAATGTGTTGAATTCAGCTAGTTATTTTATTCTTATTATAAAAAATAAGCATTAAATATACATCAACACAAAGAATAATATATTCATCAGAAATGATTTAGCTTCCACACATAATACAGTATTTGATCATTTTACTAAGAAGATCAAGCAAAACTAAACCAAGCGCTCTCTATAATAATCAGATCTCTGCTTTGTAAATGTGACTGGAGAATCTGGTAATATGGTTCTGTGTCTCAGTCAAACAACGGACTAGTATATTGTATCTGCATAGGGTTTGGGCTATTGGGCTCCGTCCTTGCTACCTCCCTATTCATGGCGATGTGTAAGACCATGATCACCAACATTTGGGTGGGGACAGTTCTGATGTCAGGGCAGTCTGAAAATATTGTCTATTCCCACGAAACAGGCAAACGCCATATTGGCATTCTACATTCTGATACCATTCCCTCTCACCACATCCTGCAGCCGCTATCAAAATCACCCTGAAACCAATGACATCATTTCTTTGACCATTTGGCATATACACTGCCTTGTAATGACACGGTCTAATATTGGTGGCTCACCCCCTTTGTACTAATACTAACACTTGTTCGTGGGCTGGAAAGATGGGTTTGAGTTGTGTGATTCATATTCTGCGTCTTCAAAAACTGAACTTGTAGCCCACCAACTGTCGGCTGTGGTACTTCTAATGGCTGATGAGCGGTCAGCAATTGTCTTCTAATCGGTTTGTTTCCCTTGTTGGCAGGTGGAAGCATCGAGAAACCCGGAAGACAAGCACCTGAGTAAGATGCAGAACCAGGGCTATGAAAATCCAACCTACAGATATTTCGAAGAGTCCAACTAAGCCCTGGGGTGCCGGAGGATTGGGTTATACATTTTGGGCCATGGGTGGGGAGGGCTTTATTCAGGGGCATAAAAAAAATAAATAATAAAATGTAAAAAAAAAATATGGGTGGGGGGAGGCACGGGTCTACAGGGCAAATTTAACAAGGTTAGTGACGGAATAGCTAGAGAGAGCATTTGCCCCCACTGAGAGCGACCGCGAGAGATATAAAATGGTTGCATCACAGCTGGGAGGAATCTGATAAATACAGGGAAAGAAAGTAAAAAGATGATATTCTGGAAAGTAAGAGAAAGTAGAAATGCATGGGGTAATGTGTAGGACAGAGCGAGTTAAAGTGTCGTCTCTCGCCCCTGTAAAATGCACTTATATAAATTATTTATAACAAAGAAGGGATAAGAGACAAGGTGGCACTCTGACCTCCTGCTCCGAGACATCTCCCTGAAACGAGACCGCTAACCTGCTCTCTCTGCATTGTCATACCGCCAGGGACACCAGCAATGCATTTAACCCGTTGAGCAGCAGAGAGGGAGGGGCGCACATAGCGCCCACTGTAGGCCAACGGCTTTGTGTAAAAACAGAAATTAAAGCATAAAAAAGCCCCATACAGAATGTAGTAACCATGGTTACATGATCAACATCATTATAAAATGTGGCCCCTCCCTCTACGCATTCAAAGGGTTCCAATCTGCAGACTGCTTCCTATGCCATCTCCTACCGCTTTCTATTTATTTAAACTTGTTTGGCTGGTCTGTTGGCTGGGAGTGATAGTTCCTCTTACTGCCCGTCTGAATCGTTTAGTCAGATTAGTAGGTAGGAGGAAAAGATGGACCATAATATCTGTCTGTCAGCTATGGGGGTGCGCATGGCAACGCTGGAAGAAGAGGAGTTGTGTACCCTTATTGTGGCACTTTAGTTTGTCTATTAATTTCCCTGACGTGTTAACACACCCCCCCCTCACCCCTTTACCTATAACAGTAGCGCTGTGTGTGCGCGCGCGCATCAGGCTGAGCGAATGAGAGTTTTTGTGTGTGTGGTCGTAAGACATGCAGCCTTGGAATTCTAAGTAACCGGTACTCGACCTACAGCACATCGGCTGGTTTTGCATTACAATCCCTATCATCCTTAGCCAGTCTGCAAGGGGCTCAGGATGATGTGATCCAAAAGCAGTCAGTATTCTTAGTCCTTTGATCTATGATACATTGGCTTCTTGTCCATCACTGCATTCAAGACCCCTAACTATTATCTTGTTTTATAACAGCTCCTTTAAATACGAATATAATGCTATATAAAGTGAATCCAACTACACCCAAAACACGTCCAATGGTCTGTTTGTTTGTTTATTTATTTTAAACGTGTAACCAGAGCTCCAGCCAGTCCCAAACTACACATTCCAGACACAATTAGAAGGTTTATTCACTCAACAAGCTGTGAACCAACTGCAAACTGGTGGGGGGGGGGGGATTATCAGGTTCTGGGAATTTTGGATCATCAGTAGCAGGAGAGTAGCTGGTGTTTGAATACCCTTCTTCCAGCCCACCTATCTGTTCCAATGTAAAAGAACATTTAAACAGGAGTTAAAGGTTTATTACTTTACTGAGAGGGTAGTGGATGCATGGAATAGCCTTCCAGCTGAAGTGGTAGAGGTTAACACAGTAAAGGAGTTTAAGCATACGTGGGATAGGCATAAGGCTATCCTAACTATAAGATAAGGCTAGGGACTAATGAAAGTATTTAGAAAATTGGGCAGACTAGATGGGCCGAATGGTTCTTATCTGCCGTCACATTCTATGTTTCTATGAGTTTAGAAAAGGATTTTTGTATCGATCAGAGGGTCTGGCTGTTTAAGTCTTAAACTCTCATATTCAGAAGTGAGCACATTATCCAGGAAATCACTAAAACAGTTTAATATGTGATATATACACCGGGAGAAATCTGAAAATCTCTGGGCAGATGGAACTTTAATCCCTCCGATTCTCGCCAGTAACGTCATGGTGAAAAGCCCGTCTGCTGTAACGTATCAAGCTACAAGGACTATAGCGACTTATCTAAAGCTCAGTGTATTAAAACCACAAAAAGCAGATAACGTCACTAAATTCTACATTTATAGCCACGGCACAAACCAGGCTCACTTTTACAAACACTGCTCGGGGAAAAGCCTCGTGTTCTGCTGGTGGTAAAGGAATCTTTTTTAAAACAATGTATTGCAAGTAACAGTGTGCGGTAAAATAAGCAACACCGTCAGCAAAACTGGTTGTGTGGATATGGCAGTCAGTACACAGTAAGTTTCACATCAGCCAGTCACATTCCCACTACTCTAGAAGAGAACCTCTGCTGTGAACCTGGCAAACTGTGGGCAGCCGAGATATGGATTCGTATTAAACGCTAGAAACCGATGCAATACGAACACCCCACTCAAGCAGGTAAGTCCTTTTTTGCCAAGAAGGAGATGGTTCTAGTTTAGTGGAGGCAGAGGCCATAACCCATTTGTTTATAGAGTTGGATGAGTCTACGGTCACAGTCCATCTCGCTCTTTAGTCAGCAAGCCAAGTTTCTCTGTCAGAGCCCAAAAACATGCAGAAAATCTAGACACCGAGCACGTGGCCAGCCAGTGCCTATTCATTGGGGCTCTCTGATCTAGTCACCCCAAAACGGCAAGCTAAGCCCTCAAACATTGTAAGCAAATTCACCTATTTTACCGTTTAATGATCTGATAACCCTCCCAAAGCTGTGTCTATAGTTCTAGAACGTCTCAGAGGGACAGAAACACTATAAAGACTAATAATTAAAGAGCTGTATTGTCTCACGGATGAGGAGTCCTGAATTTGATCATCTAAACACATTCACAAAAAGCTGTAACCTTAAAAGACACTTGGTGTATAGATCATGCTCCTGAAGTCTCACTGTCATTTAGGAGTTAAATCACTTTGTTTCTGTTTATGCAGCCCTAGCCACACCTCCCTGGCTATGACTGACACAGCCTGCATGAAAAAAAAATGGTTTCATTTTCAATCAGATGTAACTAAATTTGAAAGTTTTTATCTCCTGCTCTGTAAATTGACGTTTAATCACACACAGGAGGCTCATGCAGGTATTGGCAAGCTCATCTACAATGTCTTATCTCTTGCTCTGTTAATAAACAGAATTGCAATAAAGCAAGTGTAAATATTAGATGACTGTTTACAGGAAGTGTTTAGGAAGGCTGTGCCAGTCACATGTAGGGAGGTGGAACTAGGGTGCATGAACAAAGTGATTTAACTCAAAAGGCAGAATTGAGCAGTGAGACTTCATGATCTATACACAAAAACTGCTTCATTAAGCTAAAGTTGTTTTAGAGAGTATAGTGTCCCTTTAAATACCAACTTTTTCCCCACTATTTCACCAATTTTGGAAATTTGATTTTATTCACAAACCCCAAATGGACGTTTATTGAATCAAACTTTCATTATAGTAAAGAATCACAGGAACAGCAATAATAGCCAGAACTGGCCTGAGGTCAGTGAATTTTATTAATGCGAGAAGATAAGCAGTTATATAGTGTAAAAAAGCCAAATACATATATACATAGAATTGAAGGATACTCGGATCCCAAAACGTGATAAAGTCTTTAATATGAAATTCTGGTTGCCAACATTTACAAATGATTTATGTATAAAGTCAAATTCGTATTAAGATTTAAGACACATTTACATTTTGTAACAAAACAAAGAGCTTCGGTTCTGAGGATGCAGGGAACGGGATATGGCTGCGTTTTAACGCCAATAGCAAAGAAGCCAGTCTATGGCAGAACCTGCGGCTGGGCAAGGGAGCAGTGATGGAAAGTTCGATTATAATACACACACTATCAGGAAAAAAATAAAAATAGAATTGTAAAAACAAACTGGCAATAAAGATGAACATGCACAAAAAGAAAAACCTTCATAAAAATGCTGAGATACTCCTGATCAGTTCACTTTGTGACGTTATTCACAGACAGACGGATCCTCATTTAGACCCGTTCTAAGCAATTCTTCCACTTTAACCGTTAAACGCTATTAGTCAATCGGAACCTAGAAAACTGGTCCTGCTTTCCTAGTAAGATAGAATCGTGGATGGTTTGGGTGGTCGATCCCCAGTGCTCCCACTAAGGATCCTTCCAGGAGATTGTACTCAGCTCAGCGTGGTGTAATGATACATTGTCACAAACAGAACCAGCATCTGTGGACAGAACACAGCAGTTACGACTGTTGGATGGCCGCACACCCTGGATGGTAACGTGGGGTTAGAATCATGTAACATCATCTGTAACAAAAGGAGGACCCCCCCCCCCTCCTCCAGGCAATGCTGGACCCCCCTCCTACCTCCTCCAGACAACTCTGGGGACCTCCTCCAGACAACCCTGGAGAGCCCCCCCACCCCACCATCTCCAGAGAACCCTGGAGACCCCCCAGAGAACCCCTGGAGACCCCCAGAGAACCCTGGAGACCCCCCCCACGCCTCTTTCCCAGAGAACCCAGGAGAACCCTGAGAACCTGAGAACCCCCACCGCCTCCTCCAGAGAACCCTGGAGAACCCCCCACCGCCTCCTCCAGAGAACCCTGGGGAACCCCCCACCACCTCCTCCAGAGAACCCTTGGGAACCCCACACCACCTCCTCCAGAGAACCCTGGGGAACCCCACACCACCTCCTCCAGAGAACCCTGGGGAACCCCCCACCACCTCCTCCAGAGAACCCTGGGGAACCCCCACCACCTCCTCCAGACAACCCAAGTGCTTTTTAAAACCATGATCTATCCTAATGGTTAACACAGTTCTACATGACAGCCACCTACTGGCTCATTTAACTTACCGTCCACATCAGAATGGCAAATCCAAACCAAGATATTCCCCATGTATAACTGTTAATGGCGTGTACGATGTGACTGGAGCAGCCCTACAATAGAAGATATTGTTACCTGTAGCGCTGTATTTACAGACAGTCCATCCCTCCGTTACTGCCTGGAGAATTATACCATGTGGACAAAACACCCAGCAATTTACTCTAACATTTATTACCAAATATTATTTTATATAGCGCCATCAGCTTCTGTAGCGCTGTACAATAGGTCCCACATTTAAAGCTCTAAAATAATACGTTTATAAAAGGGTTCATGTCTTTTTACTGTTATCGGTTAATTTTATTTACAATGACAAAGAGGTTCCTTTTACACGCCATTGCATCAATTTCAAGCTAAACCAGCAGTGCCCGTCTATGAGGGCCACAACACCAGGAGCTCTGAGTAAGCACTAGCCAATTCTGGAAAACCAGAAATGTCTGGGAGAATGTGCTTTGCTCACGTGACAGGAATGAGAGGTCAGTGAATATAATCCACAATTTATTCCCAGAAGGAGCATTGTGTGTACCGGGCATGGGGCACAATATAACGGCTAATATAGATAAATGCCCCTTATTATATATGTCAGATACGGGATATAATAAACCGGTAATGGAGCTAAATGCCCCTTATGCTGTGCGTGGTGTATAATATATAGCGTATGGTGAATAACTGGTACAATATACAGCATAATGTAGCTAAACGCCCTTATACAGTGCATGGGATATAATATACACTGTGGGGTATAATATACAGTAGATGGGGCAATAACGGGTACAATATACAGCACAATGCAGCTAAACACCCCTTATGCAGTACGTGATGTATAATATACATTGCGTGGGGTATAACTGGTACAATATACAGCATAATGTATCTAAACGCCCCTTATTATCTATACAGTATATGGGAGATCACTCCCATCATGCTCAGCAGGCCGGCAGCACTACCTGTGAATTGATAAAGGATGGGTAACCCAGGAGGCAGCCTTGCTGGTTCACAAGCTGGAAGTTGGCATCCCTGGTGCAGCACCAGTACGGCCATGGGGCATCGTTCTCCGTGTAAAGAGAGCGGAACTTGGAGCCATAGGAGATCCAGTCCTGGGGGCCGTCAAATCCACAGCAGCTTTTCTGCAGGAAGAGAAAGTACATACAAACCATAAAGATCAGCTTAGTGCAAATCCCACAGAGAATGATCCCCTGAAACCTGAGCATGCGCAGTCTCACAATATACAGCTTTCACCCCAGTATACTGGGGGCCCTGTTCTCAGGAGCTTGCAATCTATAAGGGGCTGGGGGGGATATGGACAGAATACGCTCTGTGCAAAGATGCTGACTGGCAGCAGCTCCCAATCCAAACACTTCATTATATTAAACATTGGAACATCCTCGCAGAAAAATGCTTCAAGGCAATGTATCCAGTGATTAACCTGCAGTACCATATATGGCCACAGGGGGTATCTGAAAGTTTATTGAGAAAATTTCACTTTTTTTTTTTTAAATCTGGCTGAGCGGCTGTGCTGGTTCAGCCTACTGCTGACCCTAACTTGCTGCTTTGATCGCTCTGTGTGAACCTGCGGCAGCAGCTAGTTAGGTTGAGCAGCAGTTGGTCAGATAATAGTAAAGTCTGAACCCTCTCCCCTCCCAAAGAGTGAGCATGCACACACGCACTAAATACATAAATTACATTTCATTAAATGCCATAAACTTTTATAAAGCTAAAAGTGAACGTTAAGTTCCCATCCCCCAATCCCGCCCACCTACCTCCAACATTATTCTGTTCCACGTGTTGGTGATTTCAACGCCCTGTGGGGACGTATCCAAGTAGTAGGCGAGCATTTGTTGTTTAATCACGTTGGAATTTATCATCTGAGAGATAAGAAGTATGATATGATAATGCAATCACGATAACAGTCATTCCATCCCATAATAATCAGAACTTACGTAGTCTCGATGGGTGAAGGACGTTATGCAGGACGCGCATTCAAATATGTAAACGATCATCATTAACACCAGGTACTGGGGGGAGGGAAAAGAAAGCGCTCTAATACTCTGCATTAACCAGACAATGCCTATACCCTCCGTCTATAACGTGCCCGAGGTCCCACCAAATAAAAACACACGTCGTCTAAATCGTGTCAAACTGCAAACTCCTAGATTCAGAGATATTAATATCCCATTCCCCTCCTCTGCCATTACCGCAGTAGTCGATATATGTGCCGTTCATTGGAAGCTCAGCATGCGCCACCATGACACCAGCAATGGAGCTACGTCCACCCCAAACACAGACACTGGGAATTCAACCAGATCCTGGAGATAGCCACTTACCACCATGAGCATGGTACGGCTTCCTCTCATCGCAGACACAATGCCATACAGAGCCAGAACAAAGAGTGAGAAGCCACAGAAAATGGCAATCCATCCACCGGCAAACACATCGTCCTTGCCAGTAACACCCAAGATGGGGTAAACCTTGTACGGGTCAGTCGTAGCCCAGATTGTTTCAGCAAATAACGCCAGCCCAGAGAGCTGTAAGAGAACAGGTTAGAAACAGAAATAAATTCAACTGTAAGCTCGTCCTATGAAAGAGACTGCTGTACCTAAAGGGCCCTAGGTGGTCTCCAACCTACCACTACCAACCTGACAAAGTAAAGGCCTGACCAGTCAGCCCCGGGCTCCCAAAACAAAAAGTAAATTTCACTTTTTTTTTTTAATTCTTTATTTATTTCATTTTCAAATAAAAAATGTTCGGGTGAAGGGTACAGAAGAGAAAAAAGGGATGGGGTAGGGGGTTAGCATGTCGCGATATTCCCGTTGCATTTAGTCAATCACATGGTCTATTGTGTCTATATACCCCCAGTCTCGGGGCAACCCTGTTGTGGCTGAAGTCCGCTTCGGGGGGGTCCCGCCCTGAAGGCTGTCTGTGGTAGTCAGTGATTCGGGATGCGCCCGTGGTTGGTATAGTAAATTTCACTTTTAAGGCCAGAGTAAGCGAATTGCAAATATTCTCCATGGACACAATGCTTCCATTTTTGCTGCTTTGGTCTTAAATATGAAATTCATTTTTAATTTCTGACAATTTCCACTAAGGTAAAGAACCCAGTCAGTAAATTGTATTCTACAAACTACAGGAGCAACATTGTCTTATCACTATTTAGCTAGTGGAACAAAGGAAATTGATAGAATTCAGTAGCCAGCCTGGCAAGTCTTGGAAATGTAGGCTAATGCCATCTTCCTTCAGCTGAGCCAGAGGACTATAACCACCAACAGAGCATTCAACTAGTGTAACACTGGACATTATGGGTAATGGAGACGGGACCAGGTCTGTATGTACAAAAATGACTGAAACTAGAAGTCTGAATGTGAACTACCCCAAAACGTGTTGATAAAGACAGAGCAGTTTCTGTTCTTCCACCCTGAAATCTGTGAAGAGGATCTGAAGTAACCAGTAGAACCACATTCCTCGAGCCACCAGGTCACTTCAGGGATATGAATGGGAAAAGCATTGACTGTTTCTCCATTTGTGAGACAAAATGCCTAAAATCATGCTAGAATGTTTTCTTTTATTTAATATTCTGTTTCGTGTGTCACTGTCTAGCCATGTCATATTAATAGATTTAGATTGCAAGCTCTTCGGGCCAGGAAGCTAAAATCTTGCCATAATTGCTTAGCCAATACGCAGCCTCTCCAGCCATCTATAGGGAGCTGGGGTGACTGCAAACTAACCCAATTTGTTTTAGTAATATATTTTGAAATCCACACTTATTACTAGTTCTTATGATGACAATAGGATTTATTTTTTTTCTTGCAAAAAATTGTGGGGCACATCCCCCAATAGGCCACTGAGGACCAGCCTGTAATGTTCTGGCATCTATGGACACCCCATAAGTTCGTAACCCTCTAACTTACCATAATAACTACATTTCCAAACACAATGATCCCCACCAGGGCCGGCGAGCCCTTCTCTGCCATCCTGGTTCTGTCCGATTAACCTGTGGAAGAGAATTCATTGTTTTGTTAGGTTGGCGGTCAGGAGTTACGAGAGGGACACGGCTGCAGTTTTCTATTCCATTCCCTTTATAGAGAACGGAAAGCAGAATTCAAAAACCAACCAAATACTTGCCATCTCCAGCATTGTCACTTTTCCCCCCCCATTCTTTCCTAAACCCACCAATTCTGTTTTGAATCCAAAACAAATCGGGTGTTTAGTGAATAAGCCCTTTTATAGTATTGGGAAGGAAATGCAGAATACGTTCGCCCAGAGCAGGATATTATCTAAGTCTCTGGGGTTCATTCACCCCGTGAAACAGGTTGTGTAAAAACATTGCTTGTCTTGAGCTAAAATCAGTCAGTCACGTCATTTCCACATCACTTTTTATGGTTTCATGCATCTTACACAGCCTGTAACCAATGCCTCTTAATGATCCTGTGAGTGTAGTAGGGTCGCCTACTGTCATTGCCGTCTCCAGGAAATGTTGTGCCAGGCCTAGGAGCTGGCCATGGTGGAACCCACAGGGAAAGGTTTTAATAATTTCATTTGTAAAGCTCTGCCAATGGGATAATATGAGCATTTTGCATCAGCCCCAGCGGCACAGAAAGGGTTACACGGTACAGGTGGAGCTTTCGCAGTTAGAGGATTGGTTAGAGCTCTGTTTGATAACTGGGCACCAGAGTGGTCAATGAGGGCCTAAGAAAGCAATCTGGTATACACTGAATGGTCTACAGGGGGCATCACTACCCAAAAACAAAACACAACCTGTTGCACTGGAATAGAATGGGCGCCTGGGACCCACATGCAGCCAGGAATCACACACAGCAGCGGTTTTGGCCCAGTACGTGCTGTACACTGAGGTCACCCCAAGGAATAAATTGAATTCCCAGTAAGTTAACATTTTAACCAAATTAGTTGAACTGGAAAAACTGTCCTGGCCAACAATTGTTTTCTAAATTGACCACTTCAGACTTCTATTTCAAATTCACATTCTGAATTCACATTGAATTTCCAAAAATTCACACCTTAGTGAATAACCCAATCAGATAAAATGATTAAGGGGCAGGTAACGCGTTTGTATTACTGAATGTTACTGCTACCGTGGGACGGAGATGGGCATTTAGTATTTTAGAGGAATTGGCACTTCTCAAAAAATGTCCTTGTTCTTAATATAAAGAATTATTTTATTTTATTTTTTTAAACCCACACAGACACCTTTTAGTAAGCCATTTTGTTGTGATAAAAATATCCTTGTTAGAGCAGGTGAGGTGGAAAATGTCCCTCCCAACCTATACCAACATATTTTTCGGATCACCAACTATAATGAAAAACCTAAAACAATACAATAAATATAAATAGAACACGCAAAAACAAAGACAAAAAACAAAAACCAAACAGTATCTACATACAAGACTAGAGCCTTATTTTTAAAGTTAAGTCAAAATAAACTGTATATTAAAAAAAAAAATAATTTAAAAGCAAATAAAAAGTTTTTATTTTAGAACAAACTCCTACAAACGCTGTACACGCAGGAAAATATAAACATGCAGACATCGCCCCAAGATTCAAACAGTTTGAAGGTAAGCCTACTCTCATCACAAACATCCACAAAGAATAACAGGTTTTTTATTTTTTATTTTATTTTTAACCATTTTGCTGGTTCAGTTTAGACAATGTATTGAAAGTCCCATTTGTTTAACCTGTTATCTCCCAGATCTCTCTCTGGAACAATAAACACGACACACATACGATATTGTTACAATAAGACAGAGATTACAGCTGGCGCTATTGGATGTAAACAGGCGGCTTCTCTAAACTGGGAGTTAGATTTCAGACAGAATTTGTTTGATTTTTGGTCTACATAAAACACCGCCAGCTCTGCCCCTTCCTTGTGTTCTGAAAGCAGCAGATATTTTTAAACCAGAGTTAGAGAATAATTGCACAATTTGGGCAATTCCCACAATTCAAAACATTTCAATGACTGGAAATAGAACAATTTGCCCACAGTTACGTTATGACTGCAACACACAGGTTAATCGGGTCATACGGACACAAACTATTCATCTACGGCGTCTGTCCTGCCAACTATATAAAATACGCTTATTAAATGAAGAGGTTATTAAACCCTCAAGATTAGAACTCGCCACAAACCATCATTGCAGAGCAGGAGAGAGCTGGGTACATTTGGCAACTACAAAAGAAATCGCCCAGTTTGAGACCACACCAGCAAACGACCCTTCCATGAATATTGTACAATAAACGTTTTATACAAATACAGCGATCAGAAAACAAATGTTCCCATAATATAGTTTAATACTGTGCGGTGATTATACTACTGACTAATGGGGTCATTACCCCCCCTCGCTGCACAGTGGGTACACCTCCGTAACCGACCATTCCATCAGAATAAGCTAGAATATAAAATGAGGGATAACAGCAAGTTCACCCAAGGAGACGTTGGGACTCCAGTCAGATAAAGGCTGTTTATGTGAAAAATGAAGAGCAGTTATTAAAGAAAAACCATCACTGCACCAATACAGCCCCACCTACATATCCCCCTCCTCCTCCCTATAGCGAACACCGGTACACAATACAACCACTATATGAATAAATAAATCTAAACTGAAAACCTACTGAGCAGCGTTCCCTCAGACAAAAATACATAAAGGTGTAGGATTTCTGATACTCAAACGTGACACCTCCAGTGTATTCTGTGATTTTCACTTTGGGGTGTCACATTTGATTACTAAAAGACAGACACCTGTTCCCCCAAGTTATCTGATGCATCACCTGTCTTTGCAGTGGCTGTACACCTGTCCTCCCAGGTCCTACAAATTCATTCCAGTATCTTACAACTGATCGTCCCAGTAACACGTCCTCCCTTGTAGCCCTTACTCCTGTCTCCCCAGGTCTCACCTGTCCCAGATCAGACAGACTGCTGCTGCTTCCTGTAGTCTCTGATACTTATAGACTGTGCTGTGGACCTCTGTAGATTAGAGACTGGCTGTGGGGTAGGGTGACACAGGGTGGAGACAGTGACACTATTATTACAACCTGTGGTTCTACCTTTGCTACAATAACCTGTGTGAATTCCTTGACTGGAGATAACTTAACGCAAGAAAGGAGCATTTGGGGTCAGATTGATCTTCGTCTCTGGGATCTGAGCAGAAACTGACAGCTGGCTCCACAATGGGAGCAAGTTTGGCCTGTTTCACCTGTCTCTCTAATGGAGCCAGCATCCCGAATGGGATCTCACCATTTACACTGGCTTCCAAATGAAAACCTAGTCGTCTCTAATTAACCCTTTTATTCATGGACTCCTGATAGCAATTCCCATTATCCTTTGCCAACCCATGGCTGATAAACTGCGTAACTAGAACAGGGATCATTGCTGAATATAGGGGGGTTCAGGGCTCCTAAATAGCTGTATAGCCCCCCCCCCCCCTGCCAATTACCCACAGGCAGAGATATTCAATACCAACAGGGTTAATCACTAAACTGAGAATTCAGAGTGAGTTTCAAATTAAGGTCAAAGTATCCAAAATGGGAAACCGGATTCTTGAAATCTGCCAACTCCTTCAGTTCGCATGAATCGCTTTGAATTCTAACTTTAGCAAATAGCCCTGTAAGTGAAATTCAAATTTAGGTTAAAATAACTGAAAATAGTTTTAGTTTTTTTGTTTTCTTATTTGAGCTATTATGTCCCAAAATGTGAAACCCACTCTGAGTTTATTGAGTAACACATTGCAGCGCGTTGCAAAGCACATTGCTGAATTCTGGCCCAAACTGCGGGCTCTTAACTCATAGGAGAATTCAAGGGGAATTTCAAATCTAAGGCTAAAATAGCCGAAATGGAAAAATTCTCTAAATCAACTATGCTCTCAGTTTGGCTACTCTGGCCTTAAATTAGAAATCTCACTTTAGTAAATAAACTTGTCAGAAAGTCGGTCGTTCCACAGCCGTATCAATTATTTTAATCAAACTTCCATTTGAAGAAGACTGATATTCCTGTGGCAACAGTTTAGCTAAAATACCTGATTTTAAACATTCCCATCGATCTCGGCTGTTTTAGGGTTAATACGGGGGTCTAGGAAATATTGCCTCTAATATTTATATATATTTCTATCCAATTCAAAAGCAAGATGCAATCACTAAATACAGAACCAAATTGCAAAATGTCGACACAAATAGTTGATTTGGAAAATTCCTCTACTCTGCTATAGTCATAGTTAAAGGGACACTCCAGGCACCCAGACCACTTCTGCCCATTGGACTGGTCTGGGTGCCAACTCCCACTACCCTTAACCCTGGAAATGTAATTATTGCAGTTTTCATAAACTGCGATAATTACCTTGCAGGGTTAACCCCTCCTCTAGTGGCTGTCTAACAGACAGCCACTAGAGGGCTCTTTCTGCTTCATAGCACAGGTTTTCTGTGCTAGAGCGTCCCTGGACATCCTCACGCTGTGCGAGGACCTCCAGCGTCGCTCGCTCAATTCCCCATAGGAAAGCCTTGAAAAGCATTTTCAATGCTTTCCTATGGACAGCTCTAATGCGCAGCTGGCGGGCGGGATCAGTCTCCCCCGCCGGCTGACGCGATGAAGGGGAGGAGCGGCGGCGACCTGAAACCACCGCCGAGGGACATCGGCAGGGGTCTCAGATAAGTGACTAAAGGGGTTTTCACCCCTTCAGGAACCGGGGATGGGAGGTGGGAGGGAGAGATTGTTTTCCTGGCACTGGAGAGTCCTTTTAAAGTTCAGTTTTTAATGGCTCTAAATCCCCTGTTTAGAAGGTTTCACTCCCACTTAGGGGCACACGGATTTTGTTAGCGGGGACTGCATGCACCCAGCCAGAATTTTTGTTTGTAGCAAATCAGTAAAATAGGGCTTCTGGGATGACATCACAGCGCTCATGCTGATATCATAGGGAGACTGATTTATTTGGAAATGGGAAGGATATGTTATTTTACACGGCCTCAGTTTCCGAGTGAAGAATGAAATCCACCGATTTGGGAAACTAATGTAATTTGTTTTGGAACTAATATAAAGGGTTTAAGAGCAAAAAATAACCAATTGCAGCCTATAAACAAAATCAGTCTTGATGTAGCTATAGTCAAATTGGCGAAAGGTTCCAAACCAGCTATTTTGGCCTTTTAATTCACTAAAATTTGGATTTCGGTAAGCAGCCGTTTCATTATTCAAGGAAGGACGATACGTGCTCGCTCACAGCCTGCGCACAGTACACGGCAGTGTAAGGCCAATGCAGCCATGTCTAACCAGTCCAGCAGCTCTGTCGCTCTTTAGGAATGAGAAGAATGTGGTCAGGTCCCTTCCACAAATGGGTGTAGACAGTGTTCAATGTGGGGGAACTTGTCGCTGGCTGCCAAGATCACTGTGATTACAAGACTTCCTCCTGGGAGTCTATAGAGGGGAGACGTGAAGCACCAGCCGTGTAATTAATCAAATCTCGCTTACATAATTACCGCAGTCAAAATCTGACAATGTACCTCAAAAGCTGGCGCAAGAGCTGACAATCTATTTAGAAGTGTTTCACCCCCCACCACCACAAAGTTTCCAGATCCACCATGTATTCCTGAACACACACAGAGATTTTTAAAATTGTCACTGACACTCTTTTGTGTAATAAAAACAAAGATAAAAAAGGGCTGCGCCACAATAAATAGTGACTAAATAAGCAACCGTTAAACAGAGAGCACTATTGGTTGTCTCTTTAATCTTCTCTTTTCTGAGTATTGGACACCAGTGACCGAGAGGTACTCACCACATATCCCATAAGCTGGGATTATACCGCTGTACGCGCTTTACCCTAGAGCTGGATATAAGCTCTTATAAACGTGAGTTCTCTACCATTATTTTAATCTGCGTTCCTATTTGAGCTATTCATATTGCACTATTGGTTGTTCCTCTCTTTTATCTTCCATATAAGTGGAACCATAACAACATCTGAAGACCTTGCCCCTGTACTCAACACTTTAAGACGAACCGTGAGAATACTTAGGTTGGACTTTCTCTTATATTTGCTTCCATTATTGGAATTGGACATTGCTTATTTATTCACTATTTATTGTGGTGCAGCCCTTTTTTATCTTTGTTTTTATTTGTCTTGTTTTAAAGGGTTTGAAGGTATTCCCTTTTTTAAGGGTTGCTGCCTGTTGGTTAACCAGCGCTGTCTCTCCTTCTTATCTATTGCTGCACTCTTTTGTGTAATGTTCTGTGAATTTTTAGTGATTTGTTTTGTGCAATTTAACAAACTCTGTGATTTTTTGTTGCATTTCTTACACACTGTCAGCTTTGAATATGCACCATTGTTTTACTGATATTTCTGCCACTCTTTCTGACAGAGAAGTTGAAGAATTTTCATGCCACTATAACTGGCGAATACTGGCGGAATTTACCATGAAGAAAATGGTTACTTTTTAGATCTTGTTAATCAATATGGTCAGAATGATGATGGAATTTTAACCAGCGGTTTTCAGGCCGCTTTGGTGAATACCCCGCATTCCTCTCCTGCGTACGTACGGACGCCTCGTTAAAAATGCTGCAGGATATTCTAAGCAGCTACAAGGAAAATAACTCCGTAATAAAAAGGGAATCTTAATAAGCTGCCAAGACTAACGCACCACTCTTCTGCGCAAATTAATGCAATTTAAAACAGGAAAGCCCTTTTTATGTGCACACCATCAGCACTGAGAAGGTGTATGCATATTTACTTAGTTAAGATGAATTAATCCACCAATGAGCTGGCCGTGCACTTAGCACAGCGAACTAATGGAAGCTCCTAGCGTGAGCTTCTGGCGCCGAGGAGCCGCACCCAGAGGATCCCAGCTAAGAAGTCAAACTATTACTAAACGGTTTGACTACTGGCATAGGGGCGTGTGAGAAGTAAGATGTAAATTGTGTCATTTGGTTCCAGTTCATACTTTATAGTTAAACAAAAGTCATTCGCTGGCAACATTCTACAGCTCTTTATTGGATAGCACCAAAGATTTGCTTTATTTTCACATTAAAAACAAAATCTAATATAGAAACAGGATTCCTGCATTCGCCAGTCGTATTCCTGGCAGCTTTCTACATGACTTGTGGGGTTAGCGAGTCCTCCTGGGGTCTGTCATGGAACAATAAATGGCAAAAAAACACAGCACAAAAATCTTAAATATATCGGCGTTTGCAGCCGTTAACAACAAGGAGATTGTCAGAAGGATGGGAAGAGAATTTATTTCATGTTTTGCTGTCTATGACTGCTGGGCTCTGTATATTATTTCAGAAAATACATTTGAGGTTATTGTGGGGCTTATTCACTAAACTAGACATTATAACACATTTACACTAAAAGCTGTGCTGGAGCCAAGTTTAAGAATTTTGTTTAGTTTAGCTGCTTTTGCCTAAATTTGGATTTCAATTTGCTGCCAGTCCGGGGGTTTAGTGAATTAACTATAATGCTTTGTAGAAAATGCTTCCTGTTCTTGGATCCTGTAATATACTCACAGGATAGTGAACGGGTTAAAAGGCACTGGGCAGCTCATATTGTTTTCTTGCAAATTTAAAGAGATTTAAAGCCAATATATAATTCTTCCACAGACGTAGATATGACTAAATGATAGGCATGTGCATGGGGAAAATTTTCAGTTCGGCATTCCGAAATTAGGGATTTTCGCAATTCGGGACTTCGGCAATTCGGCGCTTCAAGACTTCGGCACTTCGACACTTCGGCAACTTCGGAATTTCTGAACTTCGACATTTCGGGACTTCGGCACACTTTGGGACTTCTATTGCAGCCACAGGCTGCTCACTGTTTAATAGACATGCCCCTACTCGCGGTATAGCGAGTATTAGTAAATGAATTGGTCTTTCAGCCTTTTAGTAGATAGCTCCCTAATACCGTGGGAATTAGGGAGTTATCTACTTATTCATTCCTGTTATTACACTGACTGGCTAAGTAACTTACATTTTATATGAATGTATGTTACTTGATTGTTGTAAGTGTTGCAAATGCTTACAGCTGAATCCTGGCGATGTTTGTATACTTTTTATTTAAAATTGTATACAA